GATTAATTAAAATCATTCAATTTTATGTTATTTTGAAAAGTTTAGAATAAAAATTAAGAAGAAACAAAGAAAGAAAACAAAAACCGACAATAAAATTGAGAAATTCGAAAAATTCCAACAAAAACAAATTTCCGAGGAATTCGAAAATGACGGCAGCAAAATATGAACGCAGTTACTACAAAATTGGCAAATTCCAGAAAGATCAGAATACAGTACAATTTATAATGTGAGTCATTTTATTCTACTTTATAGTTTAAACAGAGTACTGTACTATCGCTACCGGTGTCGGGGCTTTAATATCGACCCTCGCTGCGCTGAACGGGGCGACGTTCCGACGGGAGTCGAAACGCTATGTCGCCCCTCGCTGCGACTGACAGGGGAGATATCCNATTAATAAGAATAAAAACTTAATATATTTAATGATATAAAGGTTAAATCTACAGACTTCTTTTTTGCTAAACAAAAAATGATGTCACAATTTTTAAATATCTTTTTTTTAAGCTTTACAGATGAGGAATAATAATAGTAATAATAATGGTAATGATATAGTAAAATAATAAAATAATTTTGTTTAACACAAAAAAAAACTAAAATCATAAAAGTTTGAATCTACACCATGTAGCTCCAGTACTTAGCATCTTATTCACTCAGTTACCACTGTTTCCAGGAGACATGAAACTTCCAAAGACATAAGCTACAGTGAATTTTCAGAGGCCCATTTCTCAGAAATGCTTGAGAAGTGGGTCCTATTTTTTGGACAAGGAGCTGTTTGTGTTTAGGGCTACATGCTTACCAAGTTTTATTTGAATCAGAGACCCGACATCCCTCTCCTTGTAAGTCGAAACTATGAAACCATTTTCTTCTTAAAGAACTTTCAAAAATTGTTCCAGGTTAACACTTAACTTTTTTGTGTTGTTTAGTTATAATTCTGCATTTGTAGTTTTTTTACAAAACCAAAATCATGCACCTGTTCCATTGAGCACAATGCATCTCTTGAATGGTTAGCAAACACTTTTTGGAATACATTGAAAACTGAAAAACCATGTTGTCAACCAGTTTCTTTCTAAAGAAAGATAAGATCCTTTGCTTACCTATGATGTCAACACTATGTGCAGTGAGTATGTTTTTACTTCTTTCCTGTTTTGAGACCTCCTGAACTCAAAAATGTCAAAAAATTCAGTGATGTATTGTTGTGTGTATGATGTGTGTGTGTGGAATTAAGATATGAAATTTGGCATGGTATCTTGCATATAAGAGGAACTGATGTTATTAAATTTTGGTGGTTAAAGGTTGAGGAAGTGAGGAAATTGAAGATATGATGCATCATTCCCTTCTGAGTGGTTGGATATAATAGAGAGGTTGCAGCCGTCGTATTCAGCCCAAAACATGAATGGCAGACGGTCGAGCGCTGCCATCTGGCAACTCTAGACAGTTGATAATGGCATTCATTACGTCTAGCATGGCAAGTAGAAGATCGATTTAAACTTATTCATTTTTTTTTGTGTTTGGGGTTAAAATTATGACCTATTTTATAAAAATAATGATTATTTAAGCATTTATGAATAATACTATAAAGAAACAGACGATTTTAATCCAGAAATTATTTAATTATTCAATTTTTTAGCAAGTGATATGAAGTGTTACAGAATTTACATATATTTGCCTTCATAATAGCTTATCTTAAGGTTGGTTTGTTCTTCTATGGCATCTTCTACCATCAAAAACATAATACTTTTGTAAATTTTCTAAACATTAATTTTCCGAGCTGCTTTCAAATTTACATAAGCCACTATTTCCCTTGACATGAGTATGAGATAGTCCTACCATCCGATGTACGGTAGGAGACATCACGCTAATTAAAAATAATTATTTTGTGTTATTAAACATCCTATAAATACTTTAAAATAGTTTAATTTGTTTATTTACCTTTGCTGGTAACCCTCGATGTTAAATGTATCCGCCATTTTTCCAACAAATTTCTCATGAGTCAATATGTGACGTTCACTGAGTCACGAGATGTTGTGAACATGTGCTGCAACAATTTTTTCTTGGAGTTAAAATGTAAACCATGTACTTCTGCTTGCAATGTGCAAGTAATGTTTGTACTTGGGCCGCAACCTCTCTAAAGAAGACTGCTCATTATTAACATTTACTAGTTTTTTATAAAGCTCATCCCTACTCTCAAAATTAAGCTTTTTGCTATTTTATAATAATAAATATAAAATGTACNAAAAACATGACTAATAAAAATGCAAGACTGTGTGTGTATGTATTTTTATTATTACATATAAATAAACATAGTAAGAAAGTATATAATTTTTATTTTTTGGGGTCTTTAGAACGAATTAATTAAATTCCCATAGAAACCTATGGTAAATCGATAATCGGTTAACGAACAATTCGGATAGCGAACAAAATCTTGGAACAGATTATGTTCGTTAACTGATCACCCACTGTATTTTAAAATCACATTACTTTAATTCATATCATCAATAAAAGACTTTTTTACCATGCTTCATAAGCACATAGAAGCAATAATTCACATAATAACCATTCTGTTTGTTCAGAACGCCTAGTGCGGTGGTCGCTAACCTTTATGACCTCGTGGACCACTAAACTCACAATTTTGAATCCTGTGGACCACTATCATAATTCTTTTTAACAATACAAACATTATAGATTTTAAATCCATTATATATCCATTTTACTTTATTAATATGAAATTTACTTGTTTAATTATAACAAATTAATATGAAGTTTGTTGCTGCTTGTTTGAAATAAGTTTATGGATTCTTGGCTCTTTTCCACAAAGGGCAACAATTGCACTCACAGCATTACAGTATTTATTGACATTATTATTTATTTATAACAGTCATTTCATGTTTGGATTTTTTTATATTTGAATCTAAAACTAATGAATAAGAAAAAGTAACCAAGCATTTTGCATTTCTTTTAAAATACTTCATATAACTTTGTCTTCAATATAATTGTCTTAAAATACTTCATATAACTTTGTAATCAATGTACAAATTTCTTCATGAGAAAATTTTGGTGAAAATTTTCTTATGAATCATCATTGGTCCATGGACCACTGGTTGGCGACCACTTGGCTAGTGATAGCAGTCATATAAGCTTCAAAAGAAGATAAAACAAAGAAAAAATATAAAAATGTTCAAAATCTCAAGCCCTAAATTTTGCTTTAATATAGCCCATGTAATACAATAATATCATAAGTTGAAGTGAATCAAAAAATAATTTGTAATAATATGAAAGGTGTTCATGAAAATTTGAAACAATTTTCTTAATTTTTATCTCTCAAAACTTTGTGATGAACAGTCTTGGTCTACTTAATGTGTTGCATATGAAGTCTACTAATAGTTCTGCACCTCCTTTTCTAAGCATTAAAGATTTCCATGCACTTCTCCCAAGTAACTTTGTACCATTTGTCCTAGAAAACTTCCCAGAGACCATCTACCATATTGGCTTTCCTAAGAAAGTGGTTTCACTTTGAAAAACCAAAGCCATAGAAATCCACTGGCAATATATCAGACTTCACAGGTGTGTCCCTTTTTGCAATTTAGTTGCTGCTAGTTGAAACTTTCAGCTTTTCATGATATGCAGTCGTAAAGTTGGCTGTATGCCATGTCATTATAAACTGTAATTTTGTGGAGCTAACCAGGATACAGTATTAGAACTTCTTTCTAAGTATGGCTTTAACACTCTCTCCACATAGAATTCTGCATTAAGTTTAACATTTTTTGGAATTCTGATCAGTAGTATAGCTTGACAGCTTAATATCCCATGATTGTAAATTGTGATTGTGACTGTGAAGACTTTTTGTCATTTTTCAATGCAGTGAACCAGCCACTCATCAGGAACATTTTCTTATTTAGCATACATTATCTTCCATTCCCTGTTGCAGTAGTTTAAGTAGATGTAAACCTCATCTATAGTGACTGTGTACTCTGTCCTATCTATTAATAGCTAAATAGTTTCCATAAAGCTTCCTTGCATTTTTCTTTCAATTTGCACACTGTTCAGCAGTTAGCCTACATCCTTTTGTTTTTTTTTCCTAATAATAAAGTCCAGATCTTGGTGATTATTATTATTATTATTCCTTAACTATTCTCATATTTTCCATTTTATATGCTTTTGTAATAGCTCTTTGACGTGAGTGAGTTAGGTCTCAAAATTAGTTTCTAAACTTTGTGTATATTTTGCTTGGTTCTTGCAGATTTGGCTTAGTGCACAATACAAATTTCTCATCTGCTAATGCTGCCGACCATTTTTGCCAACATTTTTGATGATTCTGCCAACCTATTTTTCACAAGCTGTTGAAAATTATCTCAAATTTGCATGAACACCCTCCATATATGAACTTGTGTATAATGAAGTTGATTTGCTTTCATTCTATATAGGTTAAACTCATTTTATTTGAAATTTCACAGATCTAATTAAATGCGATGATTATTAATAATGTGATTACACATTATTAAGATTATCAAATTTTAATTCTGTATTATTGTGAAATGTATCAGTATTAAATATTAATAATTTACATAAATTAAGATGATTAGAAAGAGTGTAAATACCGCATATTTCCACATATAAGACGATAGTTGAGTCATAAAAAAAAAAGCCCCCAATATCTGGGGTCGTCTTATAGGACAGATACAAAAAAAATTACATTGAAATTTATATAAATTAAAATCAATATAAAAAAACAGAAAAACCACAATTATTTACTAGTAGAGAGTAGGGTATGTCAATAAAATAGAATAGCCCATGCGATGTTTTTGTGAATAGTCAAGGTCATTACCCGAATGCCTGAATCAATGCGAATGTTTGCAACAATAGCAAGGAAGTGCTGCCAGATGGGAGAAAATAAAATTTGTTCATTCAAAACATTACGAATAGGACATAATTCTGTATATGCTATACAGTATTATTATTCAGATGATGATCGCTGAGCTAGACTAAATTCATAGGCTGTTGATAGTTTGGGAGTTGTCTTATAGGACAGATATATGCTAAAACTATAAAACTTTCACGAAAAATTATACCTCATCATATCTGTGGACATATAGAGTAAATATATTATATAATTATTAGTATACTTAATGAAGAGTTTTCTTAGCTTTACCTTCTTCGGCTAAAGTTTTGTTAATAACTAACTTTCCATGTCGTAAATAATTAAGTACTGGACCAAAATAGTCTGGATCTCGATCAATTAAGTAAGCTCCGGTTTCATCCTAAAATTAAAAAGTAATGAATAAACAAGTGTGAAGAAATTTTAGAAAAAAAGCAAACATTTTCAGTTGTAAAATTATCATAATTTTATAAATATTACAACATTTGTTTCTTTCTATGTGAAATATCACTTCATAACACTGAACGCCTTTTGTTATTTCCCATATCCACATACACATTTTGGGAGCATAATCTCTTCTTATCAGAAAGGGTACCTGTTATTTACATTTAAAATGTTTATATTAATTCAAGTATTATTTGACAAAAATTCCAATTAATGATTATTTGATTTTCCTAATTATTTAATAAATTAGAAAACTTTTAATTGAAATTAAAAAAACAGCAAGGTTTTATTTGTTCCTAATTACAGTAGCTTTGAATCATTTCACATCCAGCACAAACATTCATATTTGTCAACTTTAATAAAAAATTCTTGTGTTTTGGGTAACCATTTTAACTTAGTAGAGACAATGGAAGTTATCTATATATTTTCCTCAATTCTTCACAAAAATTAAAATTATTTTTTCAAATTCTCCTGAATGACATCTTTCATATTGACAAATTAAGCTCACATATTTAAATATCAGTACATATTCAGTTCTGTGTTTGATCTATATAACCTGATGATGTTTATTTAATACAATTAATACATTTGTTATTAAATTATTGTATTTTTGATGGTTCTTCATGTTTTCTGGGTTTATTTATTACAGTACTCATAAAGCTAGCATAATAGTAGTGACTGAATTATACTCACTAAACAGATCTCTGATAATTGTTTTTAAATCTTCAATCATCGTAAGATAAAGTTGAGAGGATGGTGAGATGACCAAGGTGGTTCTGACACTGGCTTACCATTCTATAAATCTGAAATTGAGTCCATGCAATCAACTCCCCAGGAAGTAGTCCATCCCAGATATGTTAAGCCCCATCCCATGCCTTCACCTCCCAAATGGCCTGTGGCTTGACCAAATACATGATGGGTAGGATTAAAACAACTCTCTTAATGCCTATAAGATGGAAAGAGAGAAAGACCCATGGCTCAGGAAGACTATATATTGGCTAAACCACCTGAGCTTAATCAGCAATCCTCAGATGCAGTATATATGATATATACTTTCACTTTCATCATGCTTTTTTTACACTTGGACTCTAAACTAATAGATCCAGCACTGGCCAGAAAAGAGTAAAAGTCATAATTTTTTCAGTTTACCCCCATAGCCCTGATAATTTGTTGATAGCTATGAAACTGGAAAGAGGGGGGAAGGCAAAGTTGGGGAATTCTCTCTTCCCCAATATTCCAATCTGAATTATCATGCATCAGGAGTTTGAGGACACCACATTAGATTTATATTCAATCATCCACCAAATTTGTTATTGAGATAACTGGGAGATGTAGATTGAGCCAGATTGCTTTGAAGAATGGCATCTTTACTGGATTATTTGCATTCGATATACCACAAACCCATCCTAACAATAATATTTTTAGGTACAAATACAGTTCTGAATAAGGCAATTGTGACCTTGGCAAGTCCGGAAGATATGAGCAGAAGAGAAAATATGCAGAGGCAATGTGGAAAAGGAGATAAGGTACAAGAAAAGGGGATACACAAATGAGATAATGTAAAAAAAAACATAGCTCTGCAGATGTTTTGGCCAGCAAAGCCTTTCCAGGCCCCAAGAATTACACCCCTTCTGGTGTCCCTTCTTGAGTCACGAAAACTTTGGAGGCAAATGTCTCACCAAGAGTCACAGTTAGAGATAAGGTTCCTTTGACTTTTTGGTAATCTAGAGAGAGTCTAAAATTTTGGGGTATAATTACCTCCAAACGAGACAGTCGGGACTTTATCAGAACCAAGATCATACCCACAGGAGCAAAATGTCAGAGGAACCTTTACATGTAACCCTCGGTGAGATACTGCCACCAAAAATTGGCCTACTTTTGGTCCCAGATTGGGAGTTGCATTGTTCTGCCAGACTATTGCATTGACTACTTATCCCCAGGCAACTATGCTGGCCCACTCGACCGTTCTCAGAATACTCAACATTATACAGTTTCAGGGGGACTGCGAGAGCTTACACCCCATGCGAACACTTCGGTGCGAGCAACGGTTCACACCGAAGTGCACAACTATATGCAGAACATTGCTCGTCTCGAATGACACGCATAGAGAATAGGCAGTAGTACCGGTAACGGTAAATCTGACCTTTGGAGGCAAATACATACAGGTATGGTTCCATTGACATTTTTGCTCGTTCAGAGGGGTCTATAACTCAGGGGTGGCAAATCCCTCATTCAGGGTTTACATCGTACCAATATGAGGTCCAAAGTCTTCATTCAGGACTGCAATTCTACTGATTTTTACATAAAAACATCAATAAACGAGATAACGATTATTGAAGACACATCAATTTATACAAAAACATTGGCAGAATTTACCTTTTTGGGGTTGAGGTCGGGGTCATTTTGGCACAGGCGATACAAGTAGGAGTTGGGATCCCTGCAGAGAGTGGTTCTGGTTGTCAAGAAGTAAGTCCCTCCGACGTTCAATCGCACCCATTGATCGTGACGAGTTTTATCGTCGTTCTCTCGCTCGTAATACATTTCTTCGTCCGAGTTATTTAAATGCATCTCTATAAAATGATTCATATCATTACCAAAAATATTTAAAAATTAAGATTGATAAAATGCGTTTCGCTCGATTTGTAAACTCTTCTGACGTTTTACGTAACGAGCGTTATCATTCGTCAATATTTACTGACGCATCTGGCAACACTAATAAATTTGGGGCGTTGTTTTAAAATTTGTCATAATTTTTTTTTATAAAATAATTTTTTTAAATTTGGATTTAATAAAATAATTATATATTTATTTAGTAATTTAAAACGAATTTTAAAATTAAAGTTTCTTTTCTTTTAGCAAAAGAGATGTTTTTAAAATTTGATTTTGGATCGAGGTGGCAGCCTACCGCTCTGGGGGATCCGGGATCGAATCCGAACGGGCTGAAAAAACCTCAGGAATTTTTCAGGGGTGGTCTGTTTGGATATGTCGGGCCCAGTCCCTCACCACCCGGAAATGTGTGCCTGGCCGAACCCATAATGGTGCCCATAGTGCCCACAGGGCGGAAAGAATTTAAAAAAACCACCAAATTATATGGAAAATTCTGCAATTATTTTTCCTGTCACATCCGATATCAATCATACGCAAATTCTGAATAGCAATGATAATTAAATTTGCGCTTATTAGGACACATTCGTGGTGGCGGCAGGGCTGGCACTTTTAGGGGGCGGCAAAATTTCACAATAAATAATAACAATATCTTGTAAAAATTTGAGCCATTTCATTTCATACTTTTGTCGCACCTACGATTTGGACCGATTGAAATGAGCACGGAATTTTCATTACTTATTCTGTGACGAAACTGAATTTTAGTCTTTTAAATTGAGATACCTAAATAAAGGGGCGGCGAGATTTTCCTCTGCCCCGGGCAGCTGACACCCACGCTACGCCACTGACTCAAATCTTTGTATTCTTCTTTTAAAGCATTCCAGTTATATATAAGTTGATAGATTAATGCATAAATAAAATAAAATATTTTATTTTTCAAAAATCTAAATTTTGTATTAATTATAAAACTAAACGACGATCGACGTCATTCGTGACGTCATTACAACAATGCAATATTTAAACAATTGTTAACAGATCAACAATCAAATTAAATCATTGCTGAACTCGTCCTCGTCGAATCTTCCTTCAAAATTTTAATTGAAATCATTCAATTCTATGTCTTTTTGAAAAGTTTAGAATAAAAATTAAGAAGAAATAAAGAAAGAAAACGAAGACTAACAACAGAAATGAGGAATTCGAGAAATTCCAATGAAAACAAATTTCCGAGGATTTCGAAAATGACGGCAGCAAAATATGAACAAAGTCACAACAAAATTGGCAAATTCGAGAAAGATCAGAATACAATTAATAATGTGAGTCATTTTATTCTACTTTATAGTTAAATAGAGTACTATCGCTACCGGTGTCGGGGCTCTAATATCGACCCTCGCTGCGCTGAACGGGGCGACGTTCCGACGGGAGTCGGGACGCTATGTCGTTTCTCGCTGCGACTGAAAGGGGAAGATATCATTTAGGTAGCTGTTTTACAGTAGATAAATAAAAATGGATGATATAAATGGTCGTAGGAATGCTAAAAATTATCAAGACATGATTGGAGCCTATTATTTGCAACAGTATAACACAGGAAAACTTTGCTTATCAGCATGAGATTTTTATAGATTTTTTCTATTATTTTTAACAGCACGAGGTTGATAATGATCGTACGGTAATTTTCTATGTCGATTTTTGACTTTTTATTCTCATGTATCGGTATGACCTAAATACAGGTGCTTTAAAAAAGGATAATTAAGGCAAGGAACACACATGCGTAAAATTCGGCGTAAAAATTTTTCTGAAAAATAACTGAAAAAAGAGTAGAGCGTGTCTACTTTTTTTACGGCAAAATTCCTCCAATAAAGAGAAGTCTGTTTTGTAACGTCAAAGTAAACACGTGGTTTTTATTGTAATAATGGTGGCAATAGCGGTTAGCCCTAAAATTGTGACGGTCTCCGAGAAACGAAAAATAAATGAAACAGAAGACTATTGAATCCGTTCAACCACATCAGTGTCTTTATGACCAAAAAAAAGTGTCACGTATAAAGACACTGTGTTTAAACAAAGTTTATGAACGGCCATAGGTGCTAAATTTCAAACAACAGGTAGGTCTAGTAAAATGGATATATCGTATTTAGATCACACGTTCTTGGCCTAACTCTAGGATTTTAACAATTTTAACGAAAAGTTAAATTTTAACATTTACAGATAAAGGTTTTTTCCGTATAAAAAATCAAGGGAGAAATGTATCGTACTTATTACAATGAAGGCCGAGTGGGCTCCAAAGTAGCAATTAATATTTTCTTGTTTACTCCAGGAAATCGAATCCCGAACCTGATTCAGAAGTGATTTCTTTGCAATTAAATATTTATTTATAAATAAAAAATATTTAGAACTCTCAGCGTATACAGATTCTGCAAATGAAATTTGACCAAACATCATATATTGTCATGGGAAAAAACGGATTTATTTTTAGAAAACTACAAATACACGATAAAACAAAAAAATACACCTGTTTGAAGTAACAAGTCGACGTCTTAAGCAACTAATAAATGCTACCTAACAATACTTATAAATAAAACTATCCTTTCTTTTAACATAGCTAAACCGCTTCCCAAATAAATGTTGGTACGAATACGTCATAAAACTTGTACTTTGGTAAAAATTTGACGTCTTTGTTTTCATCAAATATAAAAAGTCGTACTGTTTACGAGTTGGTTATTCTAATAAATATCGATATCTTCCGACAACTATAACGACTTTCATATCATTTATTAATAAATTTTGAAAATAACTTTGATACCGCTATGAAATTAATAGCTTTGTATGTCTTAACGGATGTCCATTGAACTTTCAATATGACATGTGAGGAGCGGAAAACGACATATCCAGAATGGGCCACCCCGAAAAATTCCCGATGTTTGTTTACAATCCAGATTCGATTTCGGGGCAGCCTGAGCGGCGAGTCTCCATATTAACAGTTCGGCCATTCGGCCAATAGTTTTACATCTGTTGTAACGACCATGTAAAATTGCCGATTCGCGCTAAAATGTCAGAATGACGGAGTAGTTCCGGATCGTATGTGGGAGCGAATTATCCAGAGATAAACTTCACAGTTACATAATAATAATCCCGACTTATTGTTACAAAAAAATACTTACAATATCAAAACTCTTCCGTTGTTGGGAAAAGTAAAATTTCCTGGATCCTCTCCTTTCCGTGGAAGGTTCCGTCCCGCAGGTGATAATCTCCTGAAGTCTGCTCGGAGGTAGATTGCCCCGGGGCGTTGTTGAGAGTTAAATACGAGAACTACAATCTCTTTTTTCTCGTTATATCGAGCATTTCGTTATACGGACAGGAAATTTTCCACGTCTTTATACCAACAATCTTACGTAATCATTTTATAAAATTGCTTTATAACTTCGCGTTGTTCCGAGTGTTTTCGGGTCCTCACAAGGATATCGTGAAAACTTTAAAAACAGCTTATAATTGAGAATAAATTTATGCCATTCGTCTTGTATTAGGCCTGACAGCCCAGGATTTCTATATATTTTACGCAGAAAATTGAAACTAATAAAATTCAAAATTCAGATTCATTTCAGATTACTCAAAGAAAGAGAACGGAAAAAATTTTATTCCATCAGAAATATAGCTGATATTTTTTATTCATCTAAAACAATACTTAAATTGTTGTATTTTCAATATTTTAACGACCAATTTATCATTTTAATATTTTGCTTTTACGATAAACTTTACAATACGTCTGACACAACCCGGATACCAATTAACAATAAATGCCGATTTCTATAAAGTTATCCGTAAAGTTTTTATTCCATCAAAAATATATCTGATATTTTTTATTCATCTAAAACAATAATTAAATTGTTGTATTTTCAAAATTTTAACGACCAATTTAAAGATACAGACATATATATAATATACAATCAACAAAACAATAAAAAAACAGAGAAAAGAGAAACAATAATAATAAAAAAAAAATACACACAACTAATCGCAACAAAAAATTTTACAGCCCGTTTAAATTGCCCGTAAGTACTCGAATCAGTAGGTAGCGTAGTGGGGCGGCAAAATTTGACAATAAATAATAACAATATCTTATAAAAATTTGAACCATTTTATTTCATACTTTTGTCGCACCTACGATTCGGACCGATTGAAATGAGCACGGAAGTTTTCATTACTTATTCTGTGATGAAACTGAATTTTAGTCTTTTAAATTGAGATACCTAAATAAAGTGGCGGCGAAATTTTCCTCTGCCCCGGGTGACTGACACTCACGCTACGCTACTGGTATGTTGAGTGTCATTGATGACAACAACTTGGCAACGAGCCTTTTCGGTAATTGTTAACAAATCAGCAATACAAATGCAATTGTTCTTTGAAGAAAAAAAGGGTCATTTTCATATTTCCTGCTATTTTCAAGAAAAATACAATGTTGTATCGTGCTTCGAACAACTCTAACTTCCAACATTTCATAGTTGGAACGGTAAATTCGACAAAAATTCGTCTCAAAGTTCGAACATAACTTTGAAGCATAAAACGCAATCCGTTGTGAAACCAAGTCGTCTCTGGTTAAGAGCCTGTACACACTAGGCGTTTTTTAACGTTTAACGCGCGTTTTAAAGAACCAAGAGTTCTATGTAGCCGTACACACTCAAACGCGCGCTTTTGGCCAAGCGCACGTTAAGCGCTCGTTTATAGATTTTTCATAATTAAAACGCGCGGTTGGGTGCACCCAAAATTCTCTTTGTGTCTGCCAACGTCTTTTATAGCGACGATGGAGAAGCACACACAATCAATTACTTTCACGTTTATTTCCAAACTGAGCCAGTGCTAACGCCGAACTAACGCTCGTCGAACGCCGAGCTAATGCGCTCGTTAGCTCGGCGTTAAACGCGCGTTGAAAAACGCCTAGTGTGTACAGAGCTTAAGTCTACCAACACGTTTAATTAAGTAGCATTTTGTAAAAAATTATTGAGGACACGTGCCTTGGTGTCTTCCCAATCTGTCTCGAGCAGCATCCATATTCTCAAAATCCTGGATACGCCACTGATTATTAAATACGTAAAAGAATCTTGAATAGTCCTCAGTTTCTATTAGATAGTTGACAAAAAATCCGAATTCAAACCCAATTTGTAGGTTCTAGGATCTGAAATCTTTTCTTGTTCCCACAACCATAGCCAATCGAATTCATGGCGGATAGAGTTTAATCATTAACGATATAGCCATTTATATAACCGCTCACGATTTTAATGTTTATTTGTCTGTGCTTTAATTATAATTTCTCTAATTCCACAAATACTTTGTGTTATAACAAACGACAGAATTGTGTAATTTGTATAGACCGATTTTTTAAATTATATATCGAAGGTTAAAATTACTATATTTAATAATTGAATATTTTCTCATAATATTGATTTCTGACTTTGAAACTTTTATCTTAATTAAAATCTTGTATCATAAATTTTCTCTGCATTCGAACATGAAATATTTATATATTTCTTACTTACAATTTAGATAAAATTAACACGATAGGAATATTTCTTAACTAATGCAATAAATGTACACGAATCACGATGAATCAGAAAATTTCAAATACAGTACTGCAAACTTTTCCGACAGTCGAGTCGACCCCTTTAAGAATTTTTTATAACCTATCATGGACATTACTGTTAAGCTACGTGATTATAATAGGACAAGCGAACAAAACTCAATAAGAAAAAAAAAACTGTAAACTGCAAATTCCGTCGGTGTTTCTTTTATCTCGAGAACGAAGTTAGATAGATGAAAGGCGAGTCCCCGACTATGTACGAACTTCCGATGCAAACCGGAAGTCACGTCATTTCAATTTTTCAAAAATATCCCCTTAAAGGAGTTAGATAGATGACCGGCACGACTCTGTTGTTAAAGGTAAAGTATGACGTACAGGGGCAAGTAACTACTGATTTGGGAGGCTAGCATATATTTTAAATTCAATAAATGAGAAATTGCAAGCCGGCATTGATACGATGTGACAATAAAAGTACTGTTCGTGTGATTTTTCCAATTTTTATTATTTAAAATATTACATATATGTAGACAGATGCTGTAAATTACAATAAGTCTTATTGAGTTAGTGAAATTGACTGACATTGTAAATTTTTAAGTCACTTTTTTCCCATCGATTCCTGTCAATGCGCTTTGGTTTAAAGTGTATTTAGGGTGGAATATGATGGGAAGAAGGACGAAAAGCGATATTGGAGGCGCGAATACGGATAAGTGATGCTGTGAAGGCGATTTGTATTTGACAGCGGCCATACCACGTTGAAAATACCGGTTCTCGTCCGATCACCGAAGTGAAACGGCGTCGGGCCAAGGGGCAAGACGTGCGGTCGACGAGCTCCTGACCCTTTGTTCACAACGTGTGCGTAGTCGCCTTCTTTATTTAAAATATTAGCTCAATTTTAGTACGTAAGGGTGTTAGGTGTTAGGTGTTTTATCAAAGTTCGAAATGGGTTCTCATGTGGACTTTGGTAACTCTGTTTTAATAGAATTACCAAGATTTAGTGGTCCATATTTCAGAAAGGACTTTGTTACCGCTTTAAGAGACATCATCGAAACAAAGGACATTATTGGAATAGGTCCACTGCAGTTCAAATCGAAATGGATAATCACCTTAAAGACAAAAAAGGTAAGAGATGCTATTTTAAACTTAGAAGAAATTGAGGTGTCCGGTAGTAAAGGAAAAATTAAGCCAGTTATAGACGAAATAATAGAGGGAAAAATACACTGGCTCCCGTTGGAAATACCCGATATATATATACAAAAAGTCTTAGAGAAATTCGCTGAGAGCCTTGAAATAAGTAGAGAACTTAGCATAGAAGAAGGCCTTGAACACATATTCAACGGGAAAAGAATAATTAAGTTTAAGTTAAAGAAAGGAATGCAACTAGACATGATTCCGCATACAGTGTCGATATGTAACTTTAACGTATTAATAGTGCTAAAAAACCGACCCCCACGGTGCCTACGATGTGGAGAAAATGGACATATAAAAAAAAGATGTACGGCGCCATTTTGCACTAAATGCAAAAGCTTTAGACATGACACTATATCGTGTACTGGACCGACATATGCCACTCGCCTGAGGGGAGGCTTAACCAATAACAAAGACGATACCCAAAACTGCCAGAAGCAAGTAGAGGGGACGAACAAAAGAGAAGAAACGAATGAGAAGGGTGGCGAATGCACCGCGGAAGTATCGAACAAAAGAGAGGAAACGAATGAGGGGTGTAGTGAATGCCCCGCAGAAGTGTCGAAGCAGCAGGAGGCAAACGAACAAAGTAAGATAAACGAATATATAACATCACAAAATAAAAGAAAAACGAGAAGAAACACAAAGAACGCAAATGCCCAACAAAAGCAGAAAGAACCCGATACAAACGAAGGGAGCGAAACCGACACTAATAGCAACGAAAATAAGGAACGAAATATACCCGGGAAAAAGAAAAAAACACAGTTAGAACAAACAAAACGTACCAAAGATAGCAATACCAAATCGGAACCTTCAAAAGAAGGCGACGAAAAAAGTATTACAAAAAAAGAATGCGAGAAGACATGGTACATGGAAGAAACAGATACCGACGAAAATTAGAATTGTCCCCTGTAAAACAATCATGGCAATTAACATAGCCTCTATTAACATTAATGGATTAAAAAAGAGAGGAACAAATACGTTTTTAATGACCATAAAACAACGGCGTTTTGACCTCGTCTTTATCCAAGAAACACATGTAAGCAATAAAACAGATGCTACGGGAATTGCACAAAGACTGTTCCCACTGTACAATTGTCTCTGGTCCTATGGGAAAGAAAATTCGGCAGGTACAGCAATATTTGTACGATCGGACTGGCAAGTCAAAAAGACAGAAAGAGATGCGGAAGGGAGGATAATAACCGCAGATATTCACATAGACGACAAAAAAATTAGACTTTTAAGCGTATATGCCCCGGTAACACCAGGGGAAAGGATAGAGTTCTTTCGCTCGCTTGACCATTACGTGGGGACAGGGGTGGATTATATTATCGCAGGAGGCGATTGGAACTGTATAACGAATAACGCACTGGACAAGGAAGGGGGAAATGATATAACATCATGCAGAACATCAGAAACTCTAAAGAGACTAATGAGTAACCACAAACTTATAGATATATGGAGAAAACAACATTCAAACGAGAGAAAGTTTACGCATATAACCAGTAAATGTAAAACAAGGATTGACAGGTTCCTTATCCGATCCAATATGGAAGAAGCGATAAAACGCTCAGACATCGAACCATGTTGCTACTCAGATCATGAAATGATAACAATGAAAATCAACACCCTCCCCCATTGCAAACGGGGCAAAGGATACTGGAAACTAAACAATAAACTGCTAAAAAACGAAGAAGTAATTGAGAGTACAAGGAAATTTATAGAAAAGTACATACAAAAGCAAGAAGAAAAAGATATTGCGCTGTGGTGGGACAGTTTCAAGTCCGAAATAAAAGCTTTTTTCATAAAAACTGCGACAAAAAAATCCCAAGAAAGGAAATCAAACGTAAAACATCTAAAAAAACAATTAAGGTTACTGATGAATTCGCCACATGAGGACACAAATAAAATCAAACAGATAAAAGAAGAAATCAAAGAGATAGAAAAAGTTGAAGTGGAAGCAGCAGCGATTAGAGCCAGAGCCCAAATCCTTGAAGACAATGAACGACCTACCAAACATTTTATAAGAATAGAAAACACAAGAAACGAAAACAAAATGAGACAAATACAAACAGAAAATGGAATTATAAATAACAGAGCCGAAATACTCAAGGAATGCCAGTCGTTTTTTACAAAATTATATAGCAAAGACAGCACGGTAGCTACATACCCAGAAAATAAATTCATGGAAAAAATAGCCCAGATAAGCCCCGAAGATAAAACAAAGCTGGAAGAAAATATAACAGCCAACGAATGCTGGAAAGCAATTAAAGAACTCGGCGAAAATAAATCTCCAGGTCTAGATGGCCTAAGTAAAGAATTCTATAAAGTGTTCTTCGAGCAGCTGGCCGAACCCCTGACCACCCTCTTTAATGAAATAACGAAAAACGGCATCCCTCACTCGATGTACAAAGGCACAATCAAACTAATTCCAAAGAAAGCCGATGCAACTGTGTTAAATGACTATAGACCGATTACACTTCTAAATGTAGATTATAAAATCCTGGCAAAAATAATATCCTCCCGCCTCTCATCGGTGCTGAAAAACATCATCAGCCCGGAACAATCGTGCGCCCTGCCTAAAAGAAAAATCCACGACAATATCCACCTAATAAGAAATACAATAGACTACATCAACCAAAAGAATAGTCCTGGTTGCCTCATAACAATAGACATGGACCATGCATTCGACAGATTAGATCACCAGTTTATGATGAACGTACTAAAAAAATTAGATCTAGGAGAAAAAATAATTAGAATTATCGAGACTTGCTACGCAAAAATGAGTAGCACGGTACTACTAGATGGATGTTTCAGTGACTTGATAGACATAAAGAGGTCAGTCAGACAAGGGTGCCCCCTGTCGATGCTGCTCTTTGTAACTGCAATAGACACATTAATCAGAACAATAAAAGAAGATAAACATATAGAAGGTCTGCGAGTTCCCGGGAGTAGAACTCAAATAAAAGTAATAGCGCATGCAGACGACTTAACCTGCTTCTGTACTAATATATATATATATATTTATTATCAATCTATCAATAAGAAATAAATAACATATTTTATAGAGAAATGATAAAAGTGAACAGTAATCTTTAACTGAAAAGCATCGCACATCACGAAATATAACAATGTTTGAATGTTAATAAAAAATAATGTGATTTTACTTTATAGTTTTGCAAAAATCACAATAAATTAGGATAATTTGGAGCAAAACAATTACAAGAATGCAACTTTTTTCGTAATTTGTTGTAATGTTATTCTCTAATAAATAATTAATGAAATTGCCACAAGATACTTAAAATGGTATGACTCTGCAACAATGTTAAAGAATAAGAAAGAAGAACGTGTGTGACTTTCAAAAAACGATCAAAACTTCTGTATCAGTATAGAATGTGTGTTTGTGAAGTTATAATGAAACCGATTAGTTAGGAATGTTCTACATATTAACAATAATTATATCAATATATACGTTTTCTACAGCCGTTGTACTAAGTGATAACATTATTTCGTGCAAAATGTAAATACTTATTAGAGGTTTAACGTTGTAACTGCTATAAAACTACATTTTATATTTTTTCATAAATCATGTATAAACAATAATTCAGTTTAATGTGTAATATTTCCGTATTTGAGTGTACATTTTGTTTCTTTTTTCAAAATTCCGCTCACTTGTATGCAGGAAGAGAATATCGAATAGACGGAACTTATCACCTGCAAACAGCGATGATTTATAATTTAATTAATAAAGTATATTTATATACACTTAAACATAAATCAAAACATACCCTTATCAAGAAATCCCGTTTTATATAGAAGAATCCGCCAATGGATATTCTGAGGGGAATCTTTCCAAATCTCTTCATGAAATCGTTTATCTTTTAGAAAAATAATTAATTAAATTAGTTAACATAATTTGAAAATAAAATTCAAATTTGCAAATGTTAATTATATGCCATAAAATGTTTTAATTCTCAGCTTCTTTCGTATAAAATGTATAATGTGAAGTGAAATCTATGTTGTCTGATTTTTTAGAATAAATAGTGTTTAATTGTAAAATTGACGTAAAATTGTACACTATCACAATTAAAAAATAGATCCTGACTGAAAGACAAAATTGTTCACTGAAATATTATTTAACAGTATTAATCTGCTTACAATAGGTTTATCCAATTTGACGTTGGTCAATAAATCTGTTTGTGAAGTTAATCTTTGTAAATTCTCTAAGAAATTGACACATTTAACGTTGGAAGAGAAGTAAATGAAAAACTATATTTCTAACATTTCTTATTTATGACCTGTGATAATATATTTTACATACCTTAAATTTGAATGTCAACGGGAGATTTGCAGAAGAAATCTTTTCGATACTTATGAAATTATCGTAGATCTGAAAAAAAATGAAATTTTAATATGCTGTTACATCTAAAATACTCGTATTATCTACAGTGAAAATAAAATTACAAAAATGTGAAACTCCTGTATTTGTTGAATGTATAAAAAAAGGAGATTTACGAAACAGAAGGTAATTTGCTAAGAGTCCAACAGAACCTTAACTTCTGAGTCCATAAAAAAAATTATTCGAAAAACGCTGTTCCAGCTGTATTCACTGAACGTCACATAAGCCCATACGGAGCATCATGGTTTGGGGAGGCAACATTGTCAATTAGTTATAGCCCTGGTGTACATTTCCGGTATTCTGACAGAGGACCAGTACACTTTTCTAAAGAAAGAAGCGGAATTCCTCTGTAAACAATACCATTCAGTTGTCCAGTTTCATGACGATTACACTATGCTAAGCCTGCAGCCCTGTGTTGAGGGATTAATGACTCCACCAATGTTGGTTTCCATTCATGTACCCTACATCTTGCAACAAGTTGTGAATGATTTGAGTGATCACAGCTGCACTCATGGATAGTAAGAGGTAGCTTCGGATGTCGTGTCATGGCAGAAGAGTTCCGAAAGTCGTTCGGCAAATCCAATTCACTGTCTTTTAAGTATGTTCGCAGATGTTCTTGCATCAATCGTGTGACATATCGTTTCATGGTACTCAAATTGTGCCCAACACACTTGACCACTGTGTGCATTTACAAACAGCTTGAGACTACACTTTCGTTTCTCAGCCGATGATTAGTGGTAATCTGCTCACTGGTCGTCTACGAATTTTTAAGTCTTTCAACTTTCCGCTACCGCAAACCGTCTCTGATAACATTTATGGCTTGAACCGACTCATAAGCTTTAAAGCCAGAAACTGAACACTACATGACGCGTACGCAAAGTTAATCAGTTGTGTGAGGACCCAAACGGGGTTCGAAAGAAGGCAATTAACGACTTTTTAAACGAGTCAAGTTTCGTAGTGCGAAAGAGCGAACTTAAAGATCGGATTTAAACAATGAACATTTTGTCTTGTTAAAAAGTCGTTAATTGCCTTCTTTCGAACCCCGTTTGGGTCCTCACAGTTGTATATCTCTGTAAACTCTGCTGCTCCTGCAAATTGAATGTTACGACGTGCATTTTCTGGAGGTGCAATTTTATTTTTGAAAAATGTATAATAAGATTTTTATAAATATTATGTCGCATACCTTATTTATTAAATATTTAATATTATATGGTGTAGAGATACATTAAGACTGAATAAGTCATTTCATAAGTACATTGCATATAAGTATTAAAATTATAAGCATATTAGGAAATTTGAAAACTCCCGTTACTCAAACTCTTGCTCAGTAAAAAAAAATTAAACGTAGATTATAAATTAGCGAAAAATTCTAATATGTGTCATAATCTGTTTCTCGAAAAGAAAGAAATTTGTAGAATAATGTATTTTTTAAAACTTTATTTTTTACCACACAGATACAACAAAATAGATGGGGAATTTAGAAAAATAAATGCAATTCGTAAAAATAATTACATTAAGAGAAATTTTTACTTTCGCGGCAAAATAAAAATTCGAAAATATAAACTTTTTTTTACAGATAAAACATAGCGTAAATTATTTATATTGTCGACAAATGATAACTATAAGTAAAAGAATTTAAAATACTCAAATTAATAATTTGTCACAAAGCTAACCTTAACACATTGATTTATTGGGT